AGGATAAATATTGATATTAAATTTGAAAACATATAAAAATCGTTCGAAATTAAAAGTGTTGTTGAATTATACTAAAAAATAAACGTTAAGCTTGAAACAAAATATGACGGACATTCCGTCAGTTATTTTATCCACGAGCTACAAAGTCGGATGTTGTATAAAAAATTCAAGCGTATTTTTCTATAAATTTATGTGATCTTGGATAAAAGTCACGTGTAATGTTACATTATATTTATTATGGAACTATACATGTCGAGATAAGAAACGATGCACGTCACAATTTAAGATTGTGTTTAAAATAGACCAGAAATTTTTTTCATATATTTATTTACATACTTATTTATATAATTATCATAATAGACATAATTATATTTATTCGTTGTAATAATATTTCGTTTGCCGATATCAACGCGTGGAATTTAATCGATTAATTCGATATTGACACGTCGAGCCACAATTTAATTAATAATACTTTCAAGGATGTTACAAAATTTTACTAAGAGTTCAAACTCGACATTCGCAAGAGAAAACCGAAAGGAAGCTCCATTTCTGCAGTTTGCAGTTTAGTGAAATCATCGATCATTCGCACACGTTCGAAATTTTCCTAGAAAAACGCGGCTGACGCAATGCAATTCAACATTCGTACAGATTTCTGCTTTCTAAATTTCTAATTCGAATAAAAAATTTTTTTTCGACGTTCGGCACCACTCACCCTTACAAAAATTCGCAGCCTGACTGCAAATTTGAAAAAAAATAAAACAGAAAAAAAAAGCAAAATACTGAATCCAAAGAATCCTTGCTCGCCGTGACGTCAACGCGACACACAACGCTATAAATAGAGCCGTGAAGCTCCTTAAAGGGTTAAGTGGCCGGTTAGTCGTATGCCTCTGGCGACGAGCTACCGCGACAATCGGCTAAACAACACTCGAATAGATACCAGACAGATCCCCTGAATCGGACACGAGCGCCGAATCGCATTTGTTGACCGTTTGATTGCAATTTGCAGGTATTGCACCGCTGGAACTATGAGGGGCGGGAAGTTCTTCATCTTCAATAAGAAGCTGCTCTGAGCATCGTTTTAATCAGGATCCTGACATCCTGAGCCTCGAGGAAGGCTTTCAAGAAAGAAAAGGGAAAGGAAAAAAAGCAAAAAGAAAAAAAAAAGAAAAAAAAAGAAAAAGAAAAGAAAAGCAGAAAAACAGAAAGGAACAACAA